AACTTTCAAGAATGTGTGGTCTATGTGAAATCCGGAATCAATCCGTCTACAGTTTCAATTTGTAAATAGAGTTTTAAAGCTCAGTAAAAGGTACATTATACGCAGTGGATTATAAAGACATTCGAATCTGTCCTAAATATGATCCTACGTGTCTATATGTAATAATTCATGTGATCCCTAAAAAGCTACTAAGAAACTATGGTTGTCTTACTAGTGAATAAATTAAGATTCAAATTTCAAATTCTCAAAGTCGCAGAAGTTGCAAAGTGGGTGTGCATTAGCTCTTTATTTATAGGGCCCATCCATCACATTAGTCATCGCAGATATACTTGCTTTCGCAAATGGAAGTGACTTTCCAGAATAGAGGAATGGTAAAACAACAAGCCCAAATCACATGTTTCAATCAGTATATGTGTGTAACTTCTCTTAATAATAAATAATCGAAATAGTCCGTGACTGAACTCAAAAAACGTGTAAAAACATGACAAAGCTAAGTCGATGGTTGTCGCTCGTGAGCTTCGTGCTTGTGAGTCTTTGCGCGACAGTAATCGAAGCTGTAACTGAGTATTTGGTATGAACGAGGATAGATCGGACAGGATCTTTTGAATCTGAGTAAGCGGACGCCGCTAACACATTTTCTATTCACAGTCTTATTCAGCTGCTGAAGCCATTCCAGCTAGATGTTACGGCGTATACGCCAAGTCAGCTATACCGCATGGTGTCGATCCTTTTATTTCAGGTAGAAGATCTTCTGGTCTTACGACAGTATGCCTATGCCAAGACTCTTTAATCGTATTGCGCAATCTCTCTTTCTCATACGGAATTTTGTCTCCCTTCCCAAGTAAACGTTCAACCACTTTCAAACGCAACGAAAGAAACAAGCGTAGCGTTCGCATTGTTCGAATGGCATGATATAACAAAGATTGGTCATTCGCATGGTGATGGGGGCACAGTACGTAACTTTAGCAACCTAATTGATAATATGTATACACAAGTTCTCACGAGTTGTTCAACCGTAGTCCTACATATGTGACGATACGGAAGTTGAGTTGAAGGATTGCTCAGAGTCTCAAAAAGGCGAATTTCTCGTAACTGGAGACGACAAGGGTTCGATCGACACATTCCGTCTTGACTTTAACGCGAGCGATAAGAAAGGGACCAATTTATCGCACAAATACGAAATACAAAAGACTGGATATTACTGTATGTTGGCATATTTCTCGGACGAAAATTTCATGGCTCGTGTAGAATGGAAGAACCCATATGGAGAACTGCCTGGAAGCGATTATCCGAAGCTACCGGTAAGTGATGCGTATGTCTTAGTTGACCCCCCATATGGTTGAGTGGGTGATGATTTGCTTTTGTGAAATGCAAGTTTTCGATTATGATTTCGAACTCATGTTTTGTCTACGTTAACATAGTTTTATGGTTTACTGTCCTTGGTTTATTTGGCGATCGGAGTAGTCTGGATGATTTTGAGTATTCTTCATTGGCGTGAAATTCTGCCAGTACAAGTGAGTGATCTATTGTTTATTAATATTAACATTGATATCATAC